TTCACTATAGGTTTTCGAGAAAAAAAGAATGAAATATTTTAATACAACACAAATGCATATAATTTATGGTTGATTTTTTTTTTTAAAATCAATGAATTAATACAATTTAAAATTTACCAATATTAATAATATTTATCACGTTATATTTTTACACTTGATGAGATGATTTACAATATACTATACAAATATATATAATTTTTCTTTAGAATAAAAATTATGAATAAATAATGGGTCCTTGTACCGCATGATTTTCCCTTACTAGTTATAATTAAAAGAAGATAAAATTAATGTTGAATGATCAACACTATTTTAGGATAAGATCACTAATCAACAAATGAATAATCTTTGAATTTTTATTTCATAATGTAGTTGTAAACTTGTAATTATAGTAGTGGAGAAAAACGCATCATAACAAATAATCGTGTCTTTTAACTTGATATTAGCTACCATTTATATTCTCTCAACGTTTTCAAAATCTCGCAAAAATTAACTAAAATCTACAGCCAAATATTTATTTCAATTTTTTTTTTCGTAAAAAATGAATTTCAAAATCTATGTTCAAACGAAAGTTTATTTCAAAGATGTAAAATGTATGAATAGTAACTGAATTAGGTTTGAAAGATGCAATCAGTTTCGTAAACTTATAGAGATTTGATTCCTTTTTCTCTGATAACTTTTTTAGTACTAAATAAATTGTATAGAAGACTTTGATTCATCATATATCTATGTATGTTCATGCTAATCATATTTCTGGCAAAGGACACAAATCTGTCTATATGGAAGCTGTTACAGAAGATATACATTTACAACTGCAAAAATATAAACTAACAAATAAAAAGGGTGTTGCAGGAGAATCTTGTCCATGCCAAATTGTACTTTTTGCCTTCTTCTTACTCTTAACTTTTTACCTTGACTTGGATAAAAAAGTGCTTTATCTTTTCTTCAAAAAGTGACTTCCAAATCTTTTTTGTCCACAAATCATATTACTATATAGTTTTTACATAGTAATATTTTTTATTCTATTGTATCATAATCTTCTTTTGCTTTGTTTGAATATATTTGTGCTAATCCTAAGTTTTTTCTATAAATAATTTCCTTAGCCACGCGGATTGTTCATTTTCCTAGGTACTTTCTACAACCCTAAATTTCATGTTCACTTAAGCACAACAACATTGTACTAAATTTACTTTTTTGTACATTCTCTAAGTAAATTTCATAACATGCAATATTATTTAGGTTTGAATCAAAAGCTAGCTACTGAGTTCTATTGAACACGTAATTTGAAGTCAACATTCATCTTGGGTTGAGTCAAACTTACAATTATACTAATTATTTAACCTATATACTGCAAATTTTTTTGGGCCTACTTGAAAGTTCATTACATTAACAATGCAATTTTTGGTGGGTTTCAAGTAAGTTTTTAATGTCGGTATTCGAACTTCAACTAATTTAAATACACATTTGTGTATTATTTTTGTTTCCCTATACTCTAGGCTCAAACCCCAAATCTCTTAATTAGTCAAGGGCCGAGCAGAAAGATCATAATTCTCCCACTCCACCACCGGCCTTATCGTGTACACTATCAATAAAAAAGAAAATTATAATCTATTCCGCCATGTTTATGTGATAACTTATCACATCATGAAAGTATAAATGGTGGGACTAATAATCTCATGACTGTCTAATATATGAAATCAAATGTAGAATAAGATAGTCCTACATTTTACGGTAATCTTATACCTCATAACAAACGACTCATGTGGGTGAATTAAATAATAAATGGAGGAAAGATACAAAACTGATTGGGAGAGGGACAATACAAAGGGGGCAACTGTCAAAGGCATAAATAAGGCAGGCAAAAGGAGGCAGAAGTTTCTCTATTGTAGTTTAAATAAGTGATCACGTCTTGTCTTTCTTTCTTTCTCTCTCTACTGAATTTGGGGGTCCTTATATATCATGAGATCATCATGTGAGTACTCATTCTGTTTCACTTTCTCTCTCTACAAAACCCTAGCTAATATATAGCTGTAAGAATGTTAAATGAAAGAATGCCACCACCACATAATATGAAAACGATAGACCACTGCACACCCTCATTCCTACTGGTCCATTCAACCCCCCACCCCACTCCACCCCTTCTCTTTTAAATTTTTCACGAGATAATGGTAAAATTGCGTACATATTATCCTTTTTAAACTCTACGTATATATCATCGCGTACTATTACTCACCTTATTTGTAGCACTGTTACTATATATGAAAATTGACAGAAAAATAATATTTCCTTCGTCCCATTTTATGTGAGGTAGTTTGACTAGACACGGAGTTTAATAGAGGAAGGAAGACTTTTAAAACTTGTGATTTAAAATGAATGATAGAAATTTGTGTGGCTGTAAATAATTTCATCAAGGATAAAATGGACATTTTAAAGTTAAACGGTTACTTAATATAGAAATGTGTCCTTTTTTTGACAGACTAAAAAAGAAAGTAAGTCATATAAAATGAGACAGATGAAGTAATACACAAACAATATGTAATGCCCCTTTACCAATATGGAGTCGTCTTGGTACGTACATTGGTTTAGTTGAATGCTAAGTGAAGATGTAGAATTGATCAATTCTACTTGATCTCAATTTATTTCCTCAAAATGTCTCGATAAAATATTTGCAAAACTAATTCCCTGACATCTATGAGCCAAAGGCAGATCTACGGGGCGTGAGGGTGTTCATCCAAATTGTACTGCAAAAAATTACATTGTATATAAGAACGGTAATTTTTATTTTTTTTGCCTTTTCAGGTATATATATAAATTTTGAATCTTTCTCAACCCAAGATTAGAGGACCAGCCTTTAAGCTTGGTGTAACAAGCAGTAATTTGGGCCACCTAACAGCTTAATGAACCCTCATGAAAGTGTGGTCCAGTCCAATGTACCGAATGCCTAAGGCCCAAATTCAACTATATCAGGCAGTTGGAGGCAGATTGAACTGTTCTTTCATTTGGGCCTAAATATTTCCAGGCCCAAAAGGAAAACCTAAGGCCCAGGAAAATTGTCCCTTCAATGACATCGAGCCCGATGGTCAGTTAAATCGATAGCCCAACTCATAAGGATGAATATTTTGTTCAGTGGTAGAGCCAGAATTTTCAATAAGAGGATTCAAAATCTAAAGAAGTGAACACACGAACTAGTCGAAGGGGTTCGACATCTATTATATATACCTAAAATATAATTTTAACCATGTATATATAGTAATATTTTCCGCCGAAGGGGGTTCAGATGAACCCCTAAAAATATGTTGGCTCTGCCCCTGATTTTGTTATGATATAGTGACGAAGTCATGATTTTTCACTAGCGAGGATTAAAATATGAAAAGATCAACACATGAAGAAATCAAAGAGGGGTCAACATCTACTACATATATATACATTAAAAGTAATTTTAATCATGTATAAATATCATAATTTTCTGTGTCCATCCTTGGTAGCAACAAATAACTATTTTTAATCTGTGATTTAAAAATAGTCATTTCGTGGATCAACTTGTTCATTCATTGGGCATAATTATTATCTAAAACAGTTCCAAGAAAAGAGTTTAAGAGTCTGTCTAAATAAATAATAAAAGAGTGAAGCGGCATACCTACTTACTTATATATTGACATAATTATTAAAGCACCACTAATAAATTAAACTTTCATTATCATAGAAATAAGATAGAGTCCTTCTATTTTTAACTAAAGATTTTCAATTTGCAGGGAACATATTAATTTGATGCGAATTTTGATTAATCAAACTACGTGTCTACAGAGGTATCTTTGATTTAAAAAATCATTTATTTTAGCATAGTTTTAAAACATTACAAAGTCTTTTCATATTTCTTAAACTATATATTCAATCAAACTAAAACACATAAATTCTAATACCAAATTATATATATATATATATATATATATATATATATATATTAGGAAAGGCCGAC